GTGCCCAGCTGAGACTAGGGTGAGGGTAGCTGAGCACCTGGGGTACACAATTTAAGGAGATACTCTTGCAGGGTGACCTGGGCACCTGACTTGGTTCACCCCTTTTACTCGGGACCTTCCCAACTGCTCCCCAAGGCTGAGCCGATGAGGGGATGAAGCAGCATTGTTGCCTGGCTGCCCTGTGGTAGACACTCTGAACTTAATACTTTCACCCAGGTGCTCTCCTTAAACCTTCCCTAACAAACTTACAAGGCAGGTGCTTTAGACCAATGAGAGAGAGAGATTGCTTGTTAATGGTCACAAAGCTAAAGTTGGTTGTAAAACCCAAGTTTGGCTGACTCCCAGGTGCATGCCCTTCCCCTTTAGTAAAGCTCCCTAACTTCTAAGGGGCTGGCCTGGAATCCTGGCTACTAACATTATACATTTCAATTCAAGTCTCACTCAGGAGACTTACGCTTTTACATATTGGAAGCAATTTCTGATCTCTTACTAACGATGTTTTCTAAGATGGTCAATCAATGATTGCCTCCCCTTTAGGCTTTTGCTTTTTATTATCACATCGACCCTCAATTTAATTATGAACGCTCCAGTTTTACTACATTTTCCTCTGACCATTTCTCGAATGTAGTTGTGGAGTAATGGGCCAGACCACCCGTGGACCAAGTGTTCACAAGAAGGCTGGCTCCCATTAATCTGTCATCGCTCAGGATTGCCAGCATGTCCGCACTGCCATTCTGACAGGTTAGCTCTGCAGCCTTCCAGACAGGAACATGAGTTTCACACAATCCTCAAGTTCACTTCTGCTCTCAATGAGGTAGGGTTGAGTGAATGGAATGCTAAAGGACCTTCCTTGGGATTCTGCCCCACGATAGGTACCAACATGTGGATGGATATTACCAATATGTGTGCCCAGTCTGGTTGGAGGCATTCTTGGGGATGCCGCTACCATGATCACAATGCCAATTAGATCTTTGCTTTTTGGAGATTCAAGTTAACCAAAAAATAGGTGAGGGTGATTTTTCTCTTGAAAATATCAGCTCACAGCAAAAGCAGTTCTCAAGACTTGGCATCTTTCACAGGGTCCAAGGGACAGGAAGGAGGAAACGGAGCAAGAAGAGAGAGAAAAGGAGACAGAAAAGGAAGGCAAGTCAGTGTCATTCAGGATAACGTATTTTCCTTGAATGAATGTTGAAGCATTGTTTTCTGAGATGCAACCAGTACCAGACTGGTGATATAAACACTTGGCCATTACTTGAGTAACTTGTAGAAAAGACAGTCAACTACACAAAGGCAGTGTGATGCTTGCTTGATTTTCATGATTATTGACAGGATGCAGCCCCCTTTGAACAAAACTTAGAATTCACGTCACCCTCACTTATCCTAATTTTTACCTGACACTAGTGCTCAAGTTGCAAAAAGAAATCCATTAATTTATTAATCACTTTGTTCATCTGATGTCATCAGTACTTGCTAGGGTCTTACCTACCATGGTGAAACCAAACCAAGCCAAATCTAGCCTAAGTGTCTATGGCACATCAGGGGGGCGGGGGGGGGATGAGCAATCGAATAATCAAATACATAAGTGAAGAATAGTGCTTCTGAGTACCTCTGATTGAATTGCATCTCCCCAAAATATGTGCCAACTTGACTAGGCCATGATACTCCGTATTACGTAATTATCCTTCCTTTTGTGATCTGACGTAATTATCCTAGATGCTGTAAACCCTAAACTATTTCATGTTGATGAGGTGGGATTATAGGCACTTATGTTAATGAGGCAGGGCACAATCGATAGGATTAGATTGTATCTCGATTCAATTCCTTCTGATGTCTAATAGAGATTAAACGGTGAGCAGAGATGGAGAGACTTCACTGCCACCAAAAAAGAAGACTTTGGAGTGGAGGAAACATGTGGGCCCAGGTTCCCTATGCTGAGAACCGACCAGACCCAAGGAATGATTGATCTCAAGACATGTGGAGGCAGCTAAGGAATGCTTTGGGTGAAGTTGGCATCTTAATTCAGATGTCAAGCCTCCTAAAGTGTGAGATAATTTTTTGGTTTGTTTGTTAATGGCACCCACTGATAGTATTTATGTGATAGCAAAACTAGATAATTCACAGTGAGACGTGCTACACGAGGAAAGTGACGTGGTGCTAAGAGAGCGGTGCCCTGGTCAGTCAAGGCCTGGAAGGCATTCTTATGGTTGTGATGATGAGCTGAGACTGTCAGGAGAGAGCGAGGGCGATGCCCAGCCCACAGAGAACGGGAGTCATGTCTCAGGTAGAGGGGGCAGCATGCCTTTAAGGCCCCTCAGCAGGAAGGACCATGGAGAGTTTGGATACTTCAGGGGGCCAGGGGGGCAGGAGCAGAGGTAATGGGGACCCAGCTGACTTCTTGGGTCTGGGTCCATGAAGCCACCCGGGACCCCGTGCTCAGAAGGGTCCTGAACTTGGGGCAATGTTCTGCTGTTGCCATCTTGGGATGCTTTGTTGCTTTATAATTCAGACTTCACCTCCCATATGTTGGACATGTTATCTGGAGGAACTCGTCCCTGGAGGAAGACATCACTCTTAGTAAAGCAGAGCATCAGTGAAAAAGAGGAAGCCCTCAATGAGGTAGATTGACATAGTGGTGCCAACAATTGGCTCAGACCCACAGTGACTGTGAGGATAGCACAGGGTGCACAGCGCCGTGTTCTACTGTGCACAGGATTGCTGTGAGTTGGCACTATCTCAACAGCACCTGACAAGGACAGCCAATGGAATAGCCACCTTTATTTGTTGTCCCTATGCACATAGTGTGGGTAATGTCCCACGAGCACAGAAATCCAGAAGCTTCATGACATAGAGGGATACCCCAAGCTAGACACTTAGTACACGGCACAGGGGCTGTGTCTAAACTGAGTAGGTTGGGGTCTCCGCCTCCAGAGACCATACGCTGGCGCACATTCTAACTTACATTGATGCAGCAAGAAGGCAGTGGTGTCTTCAGACACAGCACCAACCATGGAGCCCCATGCACACGACTCCGCCCTATCAGCCAGGCTCTCACTCTGGAGACCTGCAGGAAGGAAAGCTCAGGCTCGCCCCTACCCAGGGCGCCTTTCCTTCCGGCCTTCCGGCCTTAGCAGGCAGCCAAAGGCAGGGGCTGTCGGCAGAATGTGGCATCTCAAGAAATGAGATGAAAATAGATGAATTCGCTTCATGTAACATTTACAAAATCCTGAGAAGAATGAAATATAAGCAGACACAAACTGTGAAATGCGAATTGTGTCATTTCGGTGGTCCCGCACGCCAATGACACATTCTTTTATCCTATTTCATACTTGCTTTGGGCAACATAAAGACCAACGGTAAAGCACATGCTAATAATCCAAAGCTTTCATTTTCTTCCCTTAAAATGGCATCAAATATCAGGTAACGGCAGCATAAGCAGACGGAGAGCCAGCCTAAGACCTGAGCTGGGATGGGACGCTGAGGAAGAAGTGGTAGTGACAGAACACGTGAGTCTGCTGGCTCTCTTGTAAGGCCTGCCACTAGAATTTGTTACTAGTGATACAAGACTGCCGTAAAAGCTGGTATCCTTATAAGTCAACACTCCTATCTAACATTTTCCGAATAATGTCATGTCAAAATTTTACTTTGCAATATGCTTTCTTT